AAACTTAAATCTTGACTTGGTTGATGGTTGATAGTGAAATAAACACTAAATATGGCGCCGATGGAAGTGACATTAACTTGTTTTGCATTGTCGCTTGAATTTGCTGCCACACAGTTGACTCAAGTGAACAATCCTCCATCAGCACCCTTTGGAGAACATCCGCTGTCTTCAGCAGTCAATCACTGTACAATCAAGACATGGGGAAGTGATCTTCTGGTTGCAAACTCTCACCTTGGCCACGGCTATCAAAAAGGCCTCAGAGAAAAAGGGGACGAAATCCGAGTTTCTTCTGATTCAGCAACAGCAGAGGGTTCCCTCGAGGTCGCCAGGTGCCCCAAGCCATCTGTGGGAAGTGTGGAATCTCAGGTTGCCTCGGCGCCGTTTTGATTGAGAGGAATTCCACGGATCGAAACACCTACCAGGCAAGATACCCCAAAAGCACAGGGGATAGTAAAAACATGGTTTTGGTTGGGATCCGCAATAAACCAATGCAAGGGGAGCTTTTAAGAGACCTCTCAGCTCGATTTTATTCCTTTGGAAGGGCCGGTCAATCTAATGGGTATGCTGAAGACGGACCCCTTTGTCCGAGCTGCAAGTATGGTTATGAAGGACTAGAAGCCAATTTTCACGAACATGCACATTTTCCGCATAAAAACCCAAAAACATCATGATCCCCGCGCCCATTTTCTGGTCGCGCTCCTGTGGTTTTTGTTGGCGGTGTGGCGTGGCGCGTTGAACGCGCCTCGCCCTGTCAGTCGTGGCCTCCTTCCCAGTGCTCCAAACAAAGATTGGCGTCGTGCGAGGTAGGTAGGCCCATCGCCCACGTGGCATTCGTGAGCGGAGTGCAGAGGGAGCTCCAACTCTGAAGCAGCCCCCACAAAAGAACACGCTCTTTGCCAGAATCGGAGCGCAGAACACGGCACTGTTGCCCTGCCTAGTGGACCCTGGGGCAATTCTCGAAAACTGGGAGCAGCCCGAGGCAACACCACTGACGATCCAGTGCCGGTATTGCACCGGAAGCTTCCATTTCATCCGGAAGTAATTCTCACGAGCATGCAATGCAACCGCGATCTCAGTGCAAGCTGCTGTGATTCCCTGGTGGCCAGACTCTGGGAAAGTTACTTCTAGTCATGTCCAGGACCGGAAGGCACAGCTGATTTGATAAATATGTTGTCAGCAAGGAACGAAGACAGTGCGGCAAGCTCGCCTGTATTGTGGGCAGACTTGTAGTATCTCGTCGAGCTAGCCTCTCCAGCTGCTTTTTGTATGCTTGCTTGCTTGGTTGTTTCTTTGCTCGTCTGCCTGCTTGTTTGTCTGCTTGCTAGGAAAAGGAACAGGCACAATGCAGCATTTGTCTGCATTTGTCCTGTATTGTGGGTGCACTGAGCAAGCCTATCCAGCTGCTTTTGTATGTTTGCTTGCTTGATTGTATGCTTGCTTGCTTGATTGTATGCTTGCTTGCTTGCCTGCCTGCTTGCTTGCCTGCTTGCTTGTCAAAAAAGAACAGGGACAAGACAGCATTTGTATGCACTTGTCCTGTATGTACTGTGGGTGGACTTGCAACATGTAGTCAGTCAAGCATTCCTGCTTGGGTGTTTGCATGGGTGTTTGCTTGGGAGTTTGTTTGCTTGCTTGCTTGTTTGCTTGCTTGCTTGCCAAAAAAGAAACTGGGACAATGCTGTATTGTGGGTGGACTTGCGTATTTTAGTCAAACGATCATATCCTGTTGTTTGTGTGCGCATGCGTGCGGGCTTCCGTGTGTTGCATGCTCGCGTGATTCAATGCTTCCGTGTTTGCTTTCTTTCCTTGCCAACAAAGAGCAGGGACAATGCATCAAATCATTTGGCATGTATTTTGTGTGCGTGTGCGTGTGCGTGCGCGTGCGTGTGCGCGTGCGTGTGCGCGTGTGTGCGTGTGTGTGTGTGTGTGTGGGTGGGTGCGTGCGTGCAGTGCGTGCCATGCTTGCGTGCTTCCCTGTGCTGCATGCTTGCGCTTCCGTGTTTGCTTGCTTGCCAGTAAGGAACAGAGACTTTGTCCTGTAGTGTGTGCGGACTTGACATATTTAGTCAACCAAGCACATCCTGCTGGTTGTTTGGCTAGTTGATTGCTTGCTTGCTTGCTTGCCTGCCAGCTTGCTTGCTTGCTTCTTGGGCGCTTGCTTGCTTGCTTGGGTGGACTTGCAATATTTAGCCAGTTGTTGCTTGTGTATACACAGGTTCTCCGCACTTAGCTGTTTCAAAAATCCTTCAGCCTGAACACGTTTGCACCCCCCAGCAAGTGCTCAGCATGTGCGGGTGTGTGAAGTGTCCCGAATAAAACAAGGAATCCTGCATGTGAGCTTATCTCTTATGTCCTTTGGCGCACAACTGGAACCGAAGCTGCGCAAGTCGATTGCTGCCCAGCCCATGGCTTCCCACGCAGATCAAACTCATTAATGTCATTGGCTCCCATTCAATATGTACTCCTATCCAGGCTTAGTTGGACCACCTACCGGTCAAACGTGACTTCTAAAATGGCTCCTGCTTGTGACCCTCAAACGTATGAACATCTATGTTTTTGGGTTGCTCAAACTGCTCTATCATCCTTGGTGCTTGTGTTCCCAACTGACCTCGAAGATATATGGTCTAATCCTTTGCCAAGCCTATCAAGCCTTGCTTCGAGTTGGCCGTGGAATGAGAAGTTCAGGACATCTTGATTCACAGCCCCCCAGTGACTGACTGTTCCAGACAGTGATCCGATCAACTCGCTGATCCGGGAGACATCTGTGCTTCATACCATAGTCATTACATGTCATTACATGTCATTCAAATTATTGATCCTGATCTGCGAAACTCTCTCTCTCTCTCTCTTTCGCGCTCCGTGGAGTGACGTGGGCTGGGCGCAATGGTCGCGGCTGGGAAGATTGCGCGCTGGCAGGGCCCCAATAGAACACATAGGTTCCAAGAAGTTGAAATCAGCTTTAGAAAGCAGCGACTGGATTCCTCCCTTATGAACTACAACATCTGCACGCTGTTTGGCAGGTTCTTACAGATTTGCCACAAGCCGGAAGGCGCTGTTCCTTCCAGACCTCTTATGTGATCTGCGCAGCCAGTATAAAAGGATTCAAAAAAGGAAAACGGACAACCTTTCTGTTGAGCATTCAGACACTGCCTGCTGCCCAAGCCGGCTTTGCAAGGGTGATAAACAAATCCGACTCCTCCTGATCAGCGCGTCACAAATCGCGACATGTCTTCTTTGCAATCTCCAAGAGGGGATTTTAGATTGCCTTCTTCACGTGTTTGGCACCATGCAGCCAAAAAACCAGTCGTCGGTGTGATTGACCACTCCTCGTGGGGACTGCCATGCTGCTCTGTACAAATCACGAAGCCGCAGGACCTCATGCAAATGGGGATGGTCTCCAAGACTCGCGCAGAACGCCGTGCGAGCTCGGGCAGGAACGCGCGTGCGCAAGTCCCGGAAAGAACCCGTAGGTGTCGGATGCATGGCCCGCTTAAAAGTTGAAATTGCGAACCAAGTAGGATCTGCCAGGGCTCCCTCTGGGCAAACCCAGCTCGTTGTCATTTCCATGTCTGCTGCGCATAGATTGGCATGAATGCAAGGCTGTTGCTTATCCTGCCCCAAAAGCGTTGACCCAATTGTGCTGCTTTCTCTTAGCCACGAAAATGGTCAAAGTTTAGATGTCCCCGCTTCAATGCCAGCCCACACATCTCCCCACGTCCCCGCCGAACCTTCAAACTAAGTCCTTTCCCAACGCTCCTGTAAGCACCATGGTCAAACTCGTGCCGGAATGGTAACCTTTAAAGGGAACTTTTACACCGGTCATCTAAACGCCGAATGCTGGCCGTTCCGTCCCCAAAAGGCCGTGTGTGTGTGTGTGTGTGCGCGTGTGCGTGTGCGTGTGCGTGTGAGTGTGCGTGGGCGTGCGCGTGCGCGTGCGGGTGCGGGTGCGGGTGGGTGTGTGTGTGTGTGTGCGCGTGCGCGTGCGCGTGTGCCAGTGTGCGTGTGCGTGTGCGTGCGTGTGCGTGCGTGCGTGCGTGCGTGCGTGCGTGCGTGCGTGCGTGCGTGCGTGCGTGCGTGCGTGTGTGTGTGTGTGTGTGTGTGTGTGTGGGTGTGTGTGTGTGTGTGTGTGTGTGTGTGTGTGTGTGTGTGTGTGTGTGTGTGTGTGTGTGTGTGTGTGTGTGTGTGTCTGTGTGTGTGTGTGGGTGTGCGTGTCTGTGTTGTCTGTGCGTGTCTGTGTTGTCTGTGTTGTCCGTGTCTGTGTCTGTGTTGGTGTCTGCGTCTGCGTCTGCGTTTGTGCGTCTGTGCGTTTGTGCGTCTGTGCGTTTGTGCGTTTGTGCGTCTGTGCGTCTGTGTGTCTGTGTGTCTATGTCTGCGTCTGTGTGTTGGATAGCACTGTCACCCGCAAACAATAACAAAAGACACCATAAGCCCAGCTTCAGAGTTTCTGATTTGACAGCAGTTTGAGCGAACCGTCCCCAGTAACTTTCACTTTGACAGCTCCAAGTACAGACTTCCAACGTGGGGCACTGCTGACTATTGCACGGGGCCTGACTCACTCTGCGTGTAGAGCTTGGCGCTACGGGGAAAGCTGATAGCGAGGAAAAC